ACTCTGGGCCTGGGAGCTGTCCCTCAGCTCTTCAGCTCAAGGCTAGCGCTCTACCACTTGAGCCACAGCGCCACTTCCGGCTGTTTTCTTTTTGCTTATGTGGTGCTGAGGAATGGAACCCAGGGCCTCAGGCATGCAAGGCAAGCGCTCTACCACTGAGCCACCTTCCCAGCCCTCATGTCTGTTCTTATCAGATGTTACTTATAGAACTTTGACAAAGCCACATAACACCCCGACTAGCCTGAGCTGTGGATGAGAAAAAATAAAATTAGTGAAAAAAATTCTAGAAGCCCAAGAGAAGAGGCCCAAGAGAAAAACAAAATAACCTCAAGGCTGAGAAGTATCTACATATCCAAACTTTCAGGAAAATTTAATATGATTGTTCATTTTCTATTAAAATTCATGAGTCACACCCACATATGACTGCTAACAATTCTGAAAGGATAGAGCAAGAGCAGCGAAGGCCCACCTCCCTGTGAGACTCCATGGACCATCTCTGCTTTTCAACCCCAAACCGACCCCAGCAGCCTCCGTAAAGTCAACCTTTCATTCAACAATGATTATCAACATTCACAGCCATCAGCCCCCTCAGGAGGCCTGAGGAGGGGAGACCAGGTGGCCAAGGGCAGAGCCTTCCTTCCTCCCTCACCAGGAAGCAACTCCAATTCCAAGGAACAGATGGGTGAGTTGATACCAGAGAGAGAATGCAGCTGCTGTGTCTTCATAGATTAGGAAGCCCCTCCTTCACTCATGGAAGCCTTTAAGTGTCACTGGTGCCTGGAACCAAACGTAATCCTCCAGATGTATGGCTGGGATGGAAGACCGACCGCAGGACAGGGTCACGGTGAGTTTGTGGCCCCGGCTGGGTACTCTGTAGTTGAGCTTAGGCCGAAACCAATCTTCTCCACAGTCCCGGTGCCCCTGTGCCATGACAATGGTGCCCATGAGCGGAGGAGCCTGCAGCTCATTAAAGGCATCAGCCAGGAAAATGGCTCGAAAGAGACGACGCAAACAAGCTGCTGTGCTCAGGCTCTGGTCCACGCTGAAGGGGGCCAGCCGGGACAAGTCGAGTTCATAGAACTCTTTGGGGCTCAGGGCACTGCCCCCAAGGAGGATCAACACTCGTGGTACTAGCGTCCTCGAGAAAAGGTCCTCTAGGTGACTGAGGACACTCTCCAGTTCTTCCAGGGCTTGTTGGCATTTCCTGCTGTTCGCCTCAGTGGGGGCCAGAGGTTTCTTCCTCACCACATCCTCTGCCTGTAAGGACAATGAATGATGGGAGAAAAGGAGGTAAGGTAAGCCAGTGGCAGCTGACAAAACTCTTTGGGATGTGTAACTAGACTTAACAGCACTGGACCACAAGCCCAAGGAAGTCTCCCAACCAAGATTTTGGGTTTTATCAAACAGACAGCATTCTATTAAAAAGGAAACTATAATTCTCCCACGCGTCCGCTGAAGCGGAAGGCATGGTGAAGTCAGCGCGTGTTCCCGGCGCGGCTGAGGGCGGCAAAGCTTCGGTACTCACGGAATACAGACTGAGGGTTATTTTTGTTATACAGGGAATACACAAGAAAGACTATTTGGGCTAATAAAGGTAATTCCAGAGTAGGTTTTCCAACTAAATATAGCCACTAGAATACATCTCTTTTATCACATGCTCCCCCCTAAAATACAAGAGAAAAAAAAGTCAGAAAGGAAAGGGTGGAGGATATGGCGTCAGTGGTATGGTGCCTGCCTACTAACTGGGAGGCTCTGAGATCAAACCCCAGTACTGTCCCTTCTCACCCCCCCCCCACAAAAGGAATAGAAAAAGAGTAAAAGAGAACTCCCGAGAGAGTGGAAAACTGGAGAATAGATGACATTGGTCCAAGTTTTGGGAAATGAAAGAAAGCAGCTGGAAGAGTTAAGAATTCAAGAATGGGGGCTGGGAAGGTGGCTCAGTGGTAGAGCGCTTGCCTTGCATGCATAAGGCCCTGGGTTCGATTCCTTAGCACCACATAAGCAAAAAGAAAAAAGCTGGAAGTGGCGCTGTGGCTCAAGTGGTAGAGT